CTGTTAAACCTAACGCTTTACAAATTGGTATCAAATCGTACTCGCTTGTCATTTTAATTTTGGGAATTCGTATCATTGTCTTCTGTGTCTTCAAACCGCTTAAAAGTTTCTTGAAATTATCCGTGGTAAGTTTACTTTCTAGTTCTGAGAGTCCATCACCAGAATTTGGTAAAACAAAGATCATAGAGATCTTGTTTCCCTGATATGGCAGTTGTAAAACCTTGCAGTCAAGTGTCAGGTCTTCACCAGATTTTGCATCAAATTCACCATACATCATTTGAACTAGCTTTCAATCATTCACTCTCACGAAAAAGTTTCTTTGTGAAGTGTCTTTCTTGTTGAACTCTTTTTTCCACGTACCTTTAAAGTAAATAGCGTTTACTACTACTAATAAAGTATCTTCGTTAAACACACCTTTTGGAATCATATTTCTAATTCGATTGTTTGTATTTGTGGAAATCCAATCATTTATTGTCAATCGTGACTTTTCCGTCTCCGTTTTAAAATCCAAGAATTCAATACCACTGCCATAATATGTAGTCGCCTTTGTAGAAAAAGTGTTCGAAAGATTAAGATGCTTACTGCCGTATAACCTGTTTGCTATAGATAATGTAACTCCGGTTGTTGTTCTCATTAAGAGTTCGTCATTAAGAAGTTTGTATCCCTGGTCGATATCATTTGGTTCTTGATATTTGAAAATAACCGACTTCATCTGGGTTTTGGTCGTTTTCCCGGTTCCAAGCATAAGGAGTAACAATGCTGACGTGATACTGTATGGCGAAATGAATTCATTTCCAGTTCTGTCTAGTTTGCTATACAGGGAGTTGGAAAAATTAGCTATCCCTTGTTCGAAGATCACATTCGATTGTTTAACCTTAGAAGCCATTCAAGAGCTTACAAAATGAAATAAAGCAAATATGATATGTGTAAATTGTTTTAAGATGCATCTTTATATATACTGGACTTGTCAGCCTTGACACTTGTTTGTTTGTTAGAATATATTTAACACTTGTAAGCCATGAATTAATTGACGTCCTTCCCAAAACAATGTCTTCAATCAGTTACATGTGTTGTAGTATTTATATTGTGATTTACTATTCCTGACAGTTGCATGCATTTAAAAAAAGCATCATTTGTTAAACATTTCTACTCGATTAATTGTAGAAATGATGTCATAGTAGTTTAAAAACGACTAAATGAATAAAACCAGAATCTGCTATCAGTTCCCATTTAAAGGAATGCAGGAACGAATTTCAACAATGAAATAAGTTCAAATAAACGTAGAAGCAAGTCTTTGAAATATACATGCATTACCTGATAAGCAAAAAATGCAAACAGCACATCAAGTAGCATACATCTATCCCTGTCCTGATAGCAATTTGGAACAATATCATTTGTACAGTTTTTAATTCTATTTCATCGAGTTTTTGTTTCCTTTTATGACCTGTATCTTTATAGTTTTTTATATGAATGTGGTGTGTGGGCTAGATTCAATGACACAACAACACCTATCGACAAAAAAGCCGCGAACGACATCTAGATGTCAACATGTGGTCTTTAACATAAGACAAGTGTCTTTAGAAATGGTTGTCAGTTAAGAGTTTGACATACACGATTATTGCAGACACTAGTCTGTTGTTGAAGACCATATATTGATCCACAGGTGTCTTTTATTGTGTTTGGTTGGTGTCTCATCAATGAATATTCACTAAAGGATATGCCAAATGATTAATCCTAATTCATGTAAGCTAGATCATTGGAATACCAGAAACATATATAACAGAGCGTATAATAAAAGTTTGTTCAGAAATTGAAATTTACTCTTTTACAACGGTATGTTAAAACACAAATACAAGCACAAAATACCTTACCAAAGAAAGCTCGTATTAGTAAATGCAAAGTGTTAAACCAGCTGATAGGATATCTTATCATCTTATAATGTAACATCACCGGTTCTACTTCATAATAGATTTCGTACAACAACGCCATTAAAAGCCGTAACACGCAGCTTGAGCTATATCCTTCGTAAATCCTTAAAACTGATAAAAGAGACAAAAAAGTTATTTTTTTTTTATGATAAGAAATAATATAACCGTTTTAATATCTTGAAAGCTTTTAAATCATCACATAAGTCAAGCGTCGAAGTGACCGAAAGAATTTTTTTGGAGTTTGAAGGAGATCAATACATCAAACTTCCAATATTAATACAAATGCCTATTAATTGACTGATCGAAAACTGAATCAAAAGAAAAGCACAATTGTTTCCTTTCTTATTATATATTGTGTGGACATTTGGACCGACACTCTTAACTAGACTGTGATGTGTTTTTACATTTCGTGACAGTCGACATTGAAGACATGTTACACCACATAGAACATTTATGTGATTATGACTCCAAATCAACCAATTTTTGATTTTGCTAATAATTGCATTATGCAAAGCGGAGAACCAGCAAATACATATTTTGGAGTCGTAAAATTAAAGACAAACAAAAACGAATAAAATGGTCAAGATATATTACATTGAACATGGAACATGCATGGAAGGTACTGGGATTTAAATTAAGACGACAGCAGTTAATCGATGGAAAATCTCGTAAATCAATCAAGAAGAGACAAATGAAAATAAATAAATAAATAAATAAATTTAGGGAATCACATGAACTGCAGAAGGAGCAAGACCAGATGAGTAGAAGGCATAACAATTGCTGTTATGCATGCATCAATCGCCATGCTATTCCACTCAGTCAAAAACTAATTTAAATCCGCCACATATGCATGTGCAATTTATGATCAAGACTCTGGCAAGTTGATATCTTCCGTAAATATTCTAATGTGTTTGGTTTTTTGAAAAATTTGATGTCAAACGCAGATAGATGTTTGATAGTATCTTTATTTATTTGTTAGTGTATACTCTGACCGATTATAAGTTTGACATACATGCAGCAGAATTTGCTTACCCTTCCGGAGCACCTGAGATCACCAACAATTTGTTGTGGTGTTCGTGTTGCTCAGTATTTCGTTTTTTATGTTGTGTTTTGTATACTGCTGTTTGTCTTTTTGTCGTTTTTTTATGTTTCTTGCCGTGGTCTTTTCAGGTTTAATCCACTGATGAGTTTGAATATCGTTTTGTATCTTCCGCCTCACGTTTGTATATATACATGTCAAATGTTTAAAACTGTATACTGACCTCGAGAAATATCCACAAGCAAGAATTGATTGGTGTCTTTATATTTAATTTCCCTTTATCTGAATGAAGATGTACCATTGGTTCTCTCTTATGAAGTATCTTTTTCTTAGTCGGTTTACGTGAAGACTGTTTTGAAGTGCTTGTAATTATCTTAATATTTTTAACATTTAACTTACAAATCAAGAATTTCTTTTCTCACCAAACAATCAATTATCTTCGAAATTTCTATCATTGATTTCGCAAAATACCCAAAATTGTGATGAAAAGCTATGTTAGATAACAAATCATTTCAAAAAGCTCGTACATTAAAGCTTGTTGGAATTGTCTACCCACCCATTTGATAGTTTTACCAAACCTTAGTTATCACACATTGTTTTGTCTGTGTTATATTGTTGTTAAGAGAGTAAATAAGTGTAAGTATCTTTCTATTTGGCTAAAAAAACTAATTTTGAAAAATCGTATTGTTATATTGATATTCTCTAATTTTTACAGCTTGTATTTATCTTTATTCAAGAATATCCTATAAGCTGTCTTCGCTGAACTGTTACCATTTTTCCGTTTAAATCTATTGCCCCAAAAACAGCCTATGAAATCGTACAGTTCAATCACATGACCGGTCTAGAAGTTCAAGATCTCTACATAAAGAAATAAACACGGAAATAAACACGTATATTTCACTTGTCATTATTCCTCAAAAAGTGTGCACACGTTGTTGTATGTGGTATTATATAGTATTGATTTCATGTAAATGCAGTAACCATAGAGCCGATGTGCTAGTTGTGTTTGTAATTTCTGTGTAATTATGCGCTGGTGATATAGATTGGAAAATTAAAATTCTAAACCACTCTTGGTAGAATCAAGAGGTTGGGACGTAAAGAGCGTAACCCCAATTTTCATAAAAAAAAAGAAAAATTGTGGCATAAAATCGTAAACAAATAAATATTTCACTGTGCTGTTCTCTGCGTTATTTTTAACCTTATGGATCATTACGTCCCCCCTTTCATTTGTATCTGCCTATCACTTATTACATGTTGTCACTGCCTATTTTCTGTCTTTTGTAATTGAAGATTTCGTCAAATATTTCTTGTCTGCTAATAAATCATTACAATTAAAAAATAATAAATTGTCTCACGATGTGGAAGCATGGTCATCGTTTTGTATAGGAGGATTACATTAAAATACCTAGTTTCATGTTGAAGAACTGACTCCAATTGATGTATGACCCTCTATCAAGAAAGTCATAAAGCTTTTAAAACAGTCCCAGAAAAATAACTACAACTTTTGAAGATTACGGGAAAGATTGTGTAAAGTGTACTTCAGTTGTGAATAGGAACAGAACATTTATTCTTTCATATTACTTATCTACAACACAGAGAAATCAATCAAACATCATAAGAAACAAAACAAATAAAATGCGAGGTAAAGCAAGTATAAATGTACATCACTTATTTCTTATTTAAGCTTGCAAAGGTGACGCATGCTACAACTTACCTATAACATGTATAACATGTGTTTATCTACAGGTAAAACCTTATATAAAAATCCAATCAGTGTTGAAAATAATAAACAAAGTTAGTCCTGCAAAAATATCTACACGTTGTGTGCATCAAGGCAGATAGCTGTATACGATATGCATATTAAGACATATATTCATATATCCCCTAAACAAACTTGCGTGAAGTCATTCAATTGATTAAAAAATAGTAAGTTTTGTTTTTATTACGATCGGAACATAAAATCGAAGTTTTTATTAACGAGCTGAGTGCGTTTTATTTTATTTTTCTTATCTTTAAGCAGCAAACTAATAATGCATGATATTAAATGTTTAATTGTATCAAAGTAAAGATAAGAATTATCAGTATTTCAGGTACATATTATTTACTAGTTTTGTACAAAATAAAAGTCAAACATATGTTACTGTGACACTATGGCCTGGCATGTCTTCCAATAAACAGCGGTGTTCTTGTTTCGTCGTCCTGAATCACAAACAGGAAAGGATGATCTGCCAAAAACTGGAATGGCTGGGGCTTAGGTTCCCGTACTGAGGTAATCCTTCCAACAGTTATCGTAGTAGGAGCTGTTGCTTTGCTTCATTTTTGTTCAGGACAGATAAAGCAAACAAACATCATAAGAAACAAAACAAATTAAACAACATGTCAGGTAAAGCAGATCTAAATGTATAGCGTTTATTTTTCTATCTGAGCAGGAAATTATTTATGCATGTCAATAACTGTTCAATTTTATAAATGTAAAAATAAAAATAACCAATATTTCTGGTACATATTTTATACTATTTTTGTTCAAAATCAATGTCAAATACATGTTACTGTTAAACTATGGCCTGGCATATCTTCCAATGAACAGCGGTATTCCTGTTTCGTCATCTTGAATCACAAACAGGAAGGGATGATCAGCAACAAACTCAAATGGCTGGGGTTTAGGATCCTGTATTGAAGTCACTCCAATAGTAATTGTAGTAGCAGCTGCTGCTTCGCTTCCCTCTTCGTTCACTTCAATGTAAGCTTTATGACGTGCATCAGTCACGCGCACGCGTGTTTCATTAGCTAGGAATATTTCACTAAAGTCTGCAATTTTTTCGTCAAAGATTTCCGTAAAACCTAACGCCGTACAAATTGGCTTTAAATCGTACTCGCTTGTCATTGTAAATTTGGGAATTCTTATTATTGTCTTCTGTGTCTTCAGACCGCTTACAAGTGTCTTGAAATTATCCACGGAAAGTTTATTTTCTAGTTCCGAGAGTCCATCACCAGAATTTGGCAAAACAAAGATCATAGAGATCTTGTTTCCTTTATACGGTAGTTGCAAAACCTTACAGTCAAGTGAAAGATCTTCACCAGACATTGCATCAAACTCACCGTACATCATATTAACCAGCTTTTGATCATTCGCTCTCACGAAAAAGTTCCTTTGTGTAGTGTTATTCCTGTTGAACTCTGTTTTCCACATACCTTTAAAATATATAGCGTTTACTACTACAAATAAAGTATTTGCATTAAGAACACCTTTTGGAATCATATTTTTAATTCGGTTGTTTGTATTGTTTGAAATCCAATCATTTATTGTCAGTCGTGATTTTTCCGCCTGCGACACAAAATCCAAAAGTTCAATAGCACTACCATAGTATGTAGACGCTTTCGTAGAAAAAGTGTTCAAAACATTTAGACGTTTACTGCCGTATAACCTGTTTGCAATAGATAATGTAACTCCCGATGTTGTTCTCGTTAAGAGTTCATCATTTAGAAGTTTATATCCCTGGTTGATATCATTTGGTTCTTCATATTCGAATATTACCGACTTCATCTGGTTTTTAGTTGTTTTGCTAGTTCCAAGCATAAGGAGTAACAATGCTGACGTGATACTGTATGGCGAAATGAATTCATTTCCAGTTCTGTCTAGATTGCTATACAAGGAGTTGGAAAAATTAGCAATCCCTTCTTCGAAGACCACATTCGATCCATTAACCTGAGAAGCCATTTAAGAGCTTACAACAAAGCAAATATGATCGGAGTAAACTATTTTAAGATGCATCTGTATATATACTGGACTTGTCAGCCTTGACACATGTTTGTTTGTAAGAATATATATAACACTTGTAAGCCATGAAATAATTAACGTCCTCCTCAAAACTATATGTCTACAATCAGTGACCTGTGACTTCATAGCTTAGATTCACATTATGTTGTACGTCTGTTGTTGAAAGTTGCGTGATCTTAATAAAAAGAAGGGGCGAAAATCAACTAAGGCATTGGACAATGAACGTAGAAGCAAGTCACCGTAATGTATATTATTAACTTATATGGCAAGAATGAAAAAATGCACAAACTTATTACTAAATTGTCCGCTAATAAGTAGAATACAGTTATCCTTGTCTCATGACGTATTATGCAAATCACATTTGTACAGTTTTGTTTTCAAATTGCTTTGGCCTTAAGTTTTTTTGGTATTGTTTTATGTTTTCTTATTGTTGTGTATCTGTTAAGATAAGTTAACATCCATCGACATTAAAACCGGAGGAAGATATCTATAGGTCAAACATGTGGCCTTTAACACAACACAAGTTTCTATAAACATGGTAAAACCATTCAAGTACATGTTTCGTACAGACACTAGTCTGTTAAGGTTGCTTGATCATTAATGAATGTTCACTTAATAATATTTCAATATATCAACAGTTTCATGTTTCGTAAAATACTAACTCGTCCCAAATTTAAAAAATTGTGAATAACGTGACATGAATCAACAGGTGCCTTCTACTTCACATGTCTGAAGAGAATTAAAAGCCATTAAGTTATAGCTTTATACAACCACTTACAAAATTCAATACGTTGAACAAGGTAATAAGCTTGTGTTATGTTTAACTAGTTGTTTAGATAGCATCAATAAGTCTTTTATACTCGGAATACTGGAATAACAAAAACAAATATAACAAAGCATACCATACACATTTATACAGAAAAGGAATTACTTTTATTATACCGACACTCAAAAGTAATAATAAAAAAAAAAATAAAAAACGCAAATACAAGCACAAAAAAGGATGCTCGCATTTAGTAAACGAAAAGTGATAAACCCGCCGATACGATATCTTACCATCTTACTTTGTATTATCATCGTTTTTTCTTCAGAAGAGAATTCGTACAAAAAATTCACAAGTAGCCCGAATACGTAGTTTTGGGTTATACTGAGAGTCAATCTGTAAAAGTTAGAGAATGGACGAGCGATTTCTTCATTGATGATGAACAATCGAGCCGTTAAAATTATTTTTGAAAGCGTTTAAATCATCAGATAAGTCAGGTGAGACGTAGCAGAGACGAAATTACTATTTGAATGGTTTTTGAGATTGCAGCATATCAATAGTCGTATCAACGGATTGAACTTCCAATGTTATTAATACGAATGAATCATAACTGATTAATCAAAGACTGAATAAATCGAAAGGCATCCTTGTTTCCAGTTGTTATTCATTTCTTTAAATTTTCATTAAAGGTAGAAACTGATTCACGAAAACAATCTGTATTGCATATTTAGAATAGTTTTAAAGCTATTTTGAGCGTGACCTATCTTCCAACAACGCAAATCCGGTATGAAATCACGACTTTATTATTATAACTTCACCTAACCTTGACAATGTTGACTGCATGTGGTTTATTTCTTGATGAAAAACTGGTAACAATTAAAATAAAATAAGTTAACTTATCATCTATTACGAATTAACATGCACAACGATCAAACATGTGTGGACGGACACGTATGTAGGCGTATATAATAATTAATGTGAAAATAAGGAGATGTGTAACAATTGCGAAATAGACTAATTTCAAGTAAACAACACATGACCAGGTTACGAAAAACTACAGATCCGTACGGTCTTCAAAAATGAACAATACTCTTCCGTATTGTAAGTTATAAAAGGCTTTGAGATGACAAAAGGCGACAAAATGTATAAAAGTTAAAAAAATGATAGCCGATCTATACGAAAACAGTATTTTAAATATTTTGCAGACATTTAATAATTACAACAAGTGGATTTTATGCTCAGGGTTTGGGACGACATCTTTATGGTTTGGGACGACATCTTTATGGTTTGGGACGACATCTTTGGCGTGGTAAACCATGTTTGTGAATCCAAAGTCGATGGGACGACAAAATGTAAAACAGTAGAAAACAACCAATGGCCGATTTATACGAAAAAAGTACATGAAAACATTTTAGAGACTAACTAATGACAACAAGTGGATTTCATGCTCAAGGTTTGGGACGGGCACATTTGGCAGGGTTAAGCATGTTTGTGATTTCAAAATTGAACTTATTTGGGTTGGTTTCCTTATTCTGAAGACTTGGAAACATGCAAATATTTGTCACTGATAACATTCTCACAAAACATCAACGTACAAATTGGGTAACATATAACAGTGCGCTCAAGTTTGTCGGAATTGTCTACCTAACTATTTGATAAGGTATACTAAACATTAGTTATTACTCTATGTTTTTGTCTCTACTATTGTTGTTAAGAAAGAAAATAATGTGTAAGTATCTTTTCAGTTTGCTAAATAAATCTTACTGTCGTATTGATATTGTGAAATCGTTTCAGTTGGTATTTTTTTCATTATTCATGTGAAGATGCGTAGACGTATTACATAATATAGCCACTAGTAGTCCAATCTTATCTGAAACAGTAAGCGTGATATAAACAGTTCTTAAAAGACCGAAAAATAAAATTCGTAGTGTGTTTTGTGTACTGTTGTTTGTCTTTTGGTCTTTTTTTCCCTTTTTTGCCATGGCGTTATCAGTTTATTTTCAACTTATTAGTTTGAATGTCCATTTGGTATCTTTCGCCTATCTTTTATGAAATAATTGTCAATCATTTAGTTCAATTTTCAGACGGATGCACTGCAGTTATTTCACTACTGTTCAGACAATTTGCGTGCTGTCACTTAAGATATGTTCAGTCTATGTTCAGATGGTTCAGTAATTGTGATTTAAATGTACACATTTACAAAATACTGAATTGACTGCAAGCATTTTATGAGCAGTACTAAATTAACTGCTGTCGACATGTCTTCTACAAATTGACCGAACGACTGAATATGACTGAGTAATTCATTATTCAGACTTTTCAGATGTTGTTAACATAAAATTTACCATTTAAGACTTAAATCCATTTACTATTGTATAATAAAATTTCATGTCAAAGAAAAATTTTGTCGCGATAAATCTGATGCGCTAGCTGTGTTTGTAACTCCTGTTTGAGTTTGTTCTAGTGATGTAGATAAAGAAGGTTAAAAATCCATATCATTTTAAACACCAAGTGGTAGAATAACTTCGGACATAAACAGAGTATGCCTATTTTGATCTAAAAAATAAGATTGTGGCATAAAATCTTCAAAACATATTTCACCCTGCTGCTCTCAGTGCTTTTTGCAATATTCAGGACAATAAAGCCCCATATTTCCCAAAATTTTCTTGCTGCCTCCTGTTTATTATTTATAACATGCTGTCATGGCATGGTTGCCGTCTATTTTAATTCAATTTTCCTTCTAATATTGCTTGTCTCCTTTGAAATTATCACAATCTAAATAGAAACTTAGGTTGTCTTACGATGTGGACGCATGGCCATCGCAGGGTATTCAAAAAGGATATCGTAGATCTGATTTTCTATCCATGTATCAACCTATATCAATAGATATATGGCACATTAAACATAATTCCATACAAAACAGGACCACGGCTTTTGATGCTTATGATACTGAGAAAGCAAACAAACATTATGAGAAAAAAATCAAATAAAACAAACTTCAAGGAAAAGCAACATTTATGTTTTACTAAAGATTTGAAACCACAAACTAACTTTTTATTAGTGTTTATTTACAGACAGATCATTACAAAAATATCCAAAATTATTCAAATATAAAGTATTTAGTTATACAAAAACCAAGGTGTGTATCCACACAGATAGGTATAAAAACCTACATGTGCACAATGTGTATATTAAGACAGATATGTATACACTTTCGTAAAAATCTTTGCGTAAAGTCAAGTACTTGATTAATATATAACAGGTTCTAATTAATTTTGATCAGTACGCATTTGTTTTCATTCAAAAATATGTTACTGTGAAATTATGGCCTGGCATACCTTCCAATGAACAGCGGTATTCCTGTTTTGTCATCTTGAATCACAAACAAGAAAGGATGATCGGCAACAAATTGGAATGGCTGGGGCTCAGGAATCCTTGCTGAAGTAAATGATACAGATAACAAAGTAGCGGCTGCTGCTTCGCTCCCCTCTTCGTTCACTTCAAGATAAGCTTTATGACGAGCATCAGTAACGTGCACGCGTGTAACATCAGCTTTTAGCATTTCACTAAAGTCAGCATTTTTTGTCAAAGATTTCCGTTATTCCTAACGCTGTACAAATTGGCTTTTAATCGTACTCGCTTTTCATTGTAAATTTAGGAATTCGTACTATTGTCTTTTGTGTCTTCATGCCGCTTACAAGAGTCTTGAAATTATCCGAAGTAAATTTACTTTCTAGTTCGGAGAGTTCATCACCAGAATTTTGCCAAACAATGATCATAGAGACCTTGTTTCCTTGATATGGCAGTTGTAAAAGTTTGCAGTCAAGTGTAAGGTCTTCACCAGACTTTACATCAAATTCACCGTACATCATTTGAACTAGTTTTTGCTCGTTCGCTCTCACGAAAAAGTTCCTTTGTGAAGTGCCATTTGCGTTAAATTCTTTTTTCCATGTGCCTTTAAAATAAATTTATGTTCTTATTCAATACTTCAAACGAACATAAAGCATTTACAAAGTAAAAACTCAACACAGTTTTTGGTTATCAGCTCGCCCCGACAGCACAGAAAGCTTATTTTTATTATAAACAATAAACAAATGTCCAATTTGCTGTCATCGACCGCTGCCATCACATATAAACACAATCTACAATAGAAAAATGTTCTATAAGTTGAAGAAAAAATCATTTCGATTTACATACATGTATTTTATCAACTATTTTCTACATAACATACTGATTCACATTCCTATGAAGTCTTAATAAAAGGGGTGGGTGGGTGGGAAAACGAACCTTTCTGTCGGATAGGCGAACCTCGAATGACAATTCTAGATATCTTATTATAATTTTAGCGCTAAAATTCTAGCATGAAGTTATCATGATTGATATAACTTAAACCGGTAATAACTTACTGATGGTCCAATCAAATTAAACATAAACATGTTTTGATTTAAACACACGTGTTAAAAGTAAACAAATACACGTGTTCCCGAGTAACCTTTATAAATACATTTATGTTCTTATTCAATACTTCAAACGAACATAAAGCATTTACAAAGTAAAAACTCAACACAGTTTTTGGTTATCAGCTCGCCCCGACAGCACAGAAAGCTTCGATTGATAAAGAAAGGGACATAAAGAAAAAGGGGGGACAAACAATATAAATTACAATCCTAAATTCTTAGATACTGACAATCTGTTGAGTATACTCTCTTTAACATAACCATCTTTGGCTTTATCACTTTTCCATCTCCCGTGTTTCTTAAACAACCGGTCATCTATTCCAGCTTCTGCCGCGGCAGTAGCTCCTCCTGACCTCAAACTATGTAAGCCAAACTGTTTTTTATCAAGACCTAAACTGTCAAGTGCAGATAACAATAACTCTCTGGCTCTGGTGTAAGAAATATGACTACTCTTTCTAAGTTTGTATATATTCAAAGATTTACAATAACAAATAGATCTAAAAATAAAATCATTCGATTCTTCAGGAATGTTAGCTAACTTTAGATAACGCTGAAGTACATCTACCGGGCATGTAATATTCCCTGTTTTTGAAATGACAACATCTTTCCCTTCCCTATATACATCAGTTTTACTCTTGACTAAATGAAGTGTAAGGTAAGTAGGGGAAAACTGTATATCAGACCTTCTCAAGTTAGCTAACTCGGAGAATCTTAAAAAGCCAGCATAGGCTAATAAACACATACATGCTATTCTTACATCTTTTAAATTACAAGTATTATTAGCATATTTACATACAATATTTTTCAAAATATGCGGTGTGATAGGTTCTTTTTTGACAACTGAATGACCTATTTTTCTATGAGCCCCTTCAAGAACAGATGCAACTAGATTATTTTCACTGGGATCAGCAACGCCAGCTAATTTATGTGCCCATTTTATGGCGTAAAAAGCATCATTTAATTTTGAAACCGATTTTGCAGTTTCAGACAAATGAATTAAATATAAAGAAATATGTAAATGAGATGCTGGCAATGGTGAAAAAGAATATTGACTAGTCCACTTACACCATGAATTGAAGGCATATCTATATTTCTTCTGAGTACTCGCAGCCTTGGACGAAAGAAGGAATTCTGGTAACTGTTTGAACAAACTGCTGAGATCATTATTAGAGGCAACTTGTGAATTAAAGTCTGACCAATGTCCTACTGAAAAAATATCTGAAAAACGTAAAATTGCAATAACATTTTATATACATATACAGAGGACGAATTATTAGCATATTTCAGATTTCTATACACAGTAAAATATAATATATATTCAAATATTTCAACGCCAGCTACAATATCTTTATAGATACTAGGGCCATAAACTGTAAAACAAATTACCATGCCTGCTAAAATATCATTATAGATACTAGGGCCATGTCAAATAAAAAACCAAGCCTGCTACAATATCATTACCGATACTAGGGCCATGTCAACATAAACACCCATGCCTGCTACAATATACATATACTAGGGCCATGTCACAAACAGACCATGACTGCTACAATATATCTATATATATATTAGGGCCATGTCACAAACAGACCATGCCTGCTAAAATATATCTATATATATTAGGGCCATGTCTAAGATGCATCTAGCAAAACAGCCAAAACTGGCGAACCAAACGGTTCAATTCCGAATATCGTATTCTTATTCGAACCTTGCTTATAAATACCATCAGTATTTTTAAACACAATAACATCTTTTACGTAATCTTGATAAATCAGATGTTTATCGAATATCAAAGGCCAGAATGCAGCAGAAATCCACTTAGGCACAACTAACGTGCCTCGAGCTTTACAAGCTATAATGTGTTTAATCGATCGTATCACAAGATTAATTGGTGGAACTAGCCAATTATTTTCATTGGTCCAAACTTGAGAAAATGCATCAACTGCTTCAGAATCAGGTTGCCAAAATAAGGAGTTAAATCTCATAACTTTTCTATTTTCGACACTTGCAAACCTGTCAATCGAATAAGGACCCCACATATCATTTAAAAAATTGAAAAATATATGTGTGACTCCCCAGTCCTCGAAATCAACCATTTTGCTGATGTAATCAGCCTTTTCATTTTCTTTTCTGGGAATCCATTGAATGTCAATTGATATTCCTTTTTGAATGCAAAATGAAAAAATAGATTTTGCTATAACATGAAGATTTTCTTTCATACTTCCCGAATTAACAATTTTGACACAATTTTGATTGTCAGTAAACCACTTTATAGTTTTTCCTGTGAAACTATTCTTAAAAGAAAAAAGGGCCAACTCTATAGCTTTCAGCTCTCTCCATGTGGAGCTTTGTACCGTTTCACTACATGTCCACATCTTATGGAAAATCTTATTTTCTAATTCAACGGTGTATGCACCAGCGGCAATATTACTAGCATCTGAGTATATGACAACAGAAGATTTACTGTAATGACATAAATTACGATAGTTAATCATGGTGACATTTTCTAACCAGAACTTTAACTCTGATAAAACCTCGACGGGTTTGTACCCTGTAATGAGAATATCCCACCCAATTCTACTTTCAATTTCCATGTAACAGAACTTTGACATAATTCTAGCCACATTTCCGATTACGGGAGTCATAGAAATAATTCTACCTACAACCTGAGCTAAAGATCTAGCTGTAACATAGGGAAATTTAGCCAAAATTACATTCAATGAGAAAATCAAATCGTCAACTCGACGTTGAGTAATAGATAATTTGTATTCTTTCGAGTTCCAAACTATTCCCAACCATTCTAACTCGGTAACAGGTTTAAAAACAGACTTCTCCTCGTTAATAAGGAAACCAGCATCAATCAAAGACCTTTTTACGAAGGACGATTGCTCATTACATGTATTTTCATCTGGACTCATGCCAAATCCATCATCTAAATACAAAACAACTTTTATACCGTTTCCACGCCAAAATTTTACTAGTGGCCTCAAACATTTAGTAAAAATGTACGGACCGGTAGTAATTCCGAAAGCTAAAACAGTATAGCAATAAAATTGACCTTCCCACTGAAAACCTAAGAAAGTCTGTTGCTGTGAGCATATGTCTAAGTGAAAATAACCAGATTTTAAATCAAACTTAAACAGATACATATCTTTGTCAAAATATTGTATAGCTAACTTCCAATCCTCAAATTTTATTTTTTCGCGCTTTATGTGTTTATTCAATTGACTCATATCTAAAATAAGTCGTTTCTTACCGGACTTTTGAGTAGCAACACTCAATGGATTTACCACATATGGTTGAAAAGGCACTTTAATTACGCAACCTATTTGAACTAAATCTTCAATTGACTTTGTGACAAATTCAGTATTCTGCCGTGCTGATCTATTATTTCTGTGGTACATTTTAAAAGGTGTATCTATAAATGGAATAACATAACCATTTTTTATTGTATCAAGCACAAAAGGACAAGCACCTATATTTTCCCAATACTTTACATGACAAGCTAATCTACCTTTCACCCCTTTAAATTTATCATATGACTGACAATTTTCAAAATATTGAACTTGATCTAAAAAAGATTCTATATAATCGTTATCAACAAAACATGTAGAAAATTGGTCATTAATAGTGTCTAAATACTTATCATTCACAATGACTGGAGAGTGACGTTCAGGCCCTACTTTACTACTTCTGGTAGGTTGTGGAGTTGCTGTTGGATGACCTGAGACTGGCGAGAAGAGGACAGTTTTTTCTCCAGTGGCCTTGTTGCTTGCAGTAGTGGCACGTGTCGATTGAGCAAGGCTCACGCCTTGCGAAGCTCCCACGAAAGGGCTGTTGCTGATTACGTTGATAATGCTGAGCGTAAGCAGGGTTACCATAAGATTCCGCAGGTTGTTGACGAGGCGGATTTTTTGGGTAAGGTTGCTGGCGAGATTTTGACTTCTCCTTGGAGGTACGGATAGCTCTGGTCTCAGCTTGTCGTATCTTTCTCTCATCTTCAGAATCTGAAGCCACGGCATTGGATTCGTATTCCCTAACGGTTCCCCAACCAGCAGGGGAAGCATCAGCTATGCGTATTTTCTTATTACGGCTTTTGATCTTATCAGTTATGTCAAGAACTAATCTATAGGCTTGAGTATTGGAGTTAGGGATGAATTTTGAAAGTTTATTAACAGTGTCTAATAATTCCTCGTTAAAGGTGTACTGAATTCTGTTTCCTTCCCCCTTAAATTTTAGAGTGACGTCCTCCTTAATTTTTCTCTTAAGGCAATCTTGTTCTTGTATGAGTTCAGATTTCAACTCACCTAACTTGCTGTCTAAAATTGTCTTAAAAAGCTCTACAGTATCTACCAAATCAGACGACTTATCAGCTGCTTTATGAATATTAGGTGGCGGTAAACTATTATCTCCTTCGAGTAGTATGTCTTCATTCAATTCCAGACGTGGAGAAGATTCGGACATTTTACCAAGTGGCGATTTAAGAAAAAACGAACCTTTCTGTC